GTTGTGTGAACGAGATACTAAAATTCCATGACTGTTTCAAAACTTTCATTCAGTTTACAAAATTCCATGACATTTCCAGGTCTGGAAAATGACATTTTCAATTTCCATGATTTTTCTAGGATTTGTATGACTGCGGGAACCCTGTTATTATAATCGGCTAAGGCAAAGGAAACAGTGTACTAATAATAGTGTTCTTGCGATTAAAGCATCTGCTTATGAACCAAATGGTTGCTGGTTCAATTTTTGCCCAAGCACATAGAGTCTACAAAATAAAAGTATGCAAACCGGAAACGCGTTTTAAAACCCAGATATTATGCAAAATAGTCTCTTGTGAGCTTTATGACATGTTATAATGTTGTTACCTCCTCAAAAACAGACTTGGAGTTGTGTTTTGTTTCATTCACACGTTTGAGAAACACTTTATTGTTTTATTATTATTATTAATGCTCTGTTCCATGTTGTGACGTCATGCAGTGGTAGTTTTCAAGTTAACAGCTCCTTCCTTTTTACCTTTAGTTTGGTAGAGATTAGCAATTCTAGATCTGAAATCATCCAAATGATTTTAGTGAAGGTGCATTGCAAAGTGGACCAGAGTGTTTTTCATTTGAGAGAACAAACAATGAGGAAGCAACATTATAACATAGATCAGAAAATATCATAATTACAGCCCTTTAATAAACAGATCTACAGATAGATCTACAATAAATAAATTTATGTAATTCATTTTTTTAATTACACAACTTTATAAATAAATAAATAAATATAGTAGGTTGTCTTTTTTTGTTTTGTTTACTACAGGGTTCCCACTCTTTTTCACTGACAAAATTAAACAATTTTTCCTTAACTTTTCCATGACCTAAAGTGAATTTTCCATGACTTTACTGCACCTATTGAACTAATCAGACTTTTAGGGCTAAATATGAAATGTTAACCCTTTCCACTCACCTTATGGTTTGGTATTATAGCTTTTTAACATTCAAAATCCTGTCAGTGCGTTTATTGTCGTCTCTTTAAAACAAAAGGCGCAGACGTTTAGAAATAATCAGAATAGCCTCATGAGAACAGAACGCTGTAGTTACGTGAAACAGATACTAAAATTCCTTGACTTTTCCAAAAGTTTCATTAAATTTACAAAATTCCATGACATTTCCAGGTCTGGAAAATAACACTTTCAGTTTCCATGACTTTTCTAGTATTTGTATGCCCATGGGAACCCTGTTACTATAATCGGCTAAAGCAAAGGAAATAGTGTTGTGATTAAATTATCTACCTATGAGCCAAAGAGTTGCTGGTTAAATTTTTGCCGAAGCACATAGTGTCACTTTGTCATATGGGCAAGACTTGACTCCAGTGACTCACTCTGCAGTAACACAGTTGTGAAAGAAAGATCGTCTGGTATAAAACTTTCTCTGCTTCTCCACCGTGTAGTGTGAACAAAAGCAAAACAAGAGAACAGAAGTAGCAAATACATTTTACAAACATGATGTATTTTATTCTTTGTCCTGTTCAGGATTAGAAATATAAAAGTATACAGGAGTGTGGAGTATACACAGTACTAGTTGGGTAGTTGGTTAAGAGCCAGAACCTGATTTTAATATCCTCTTGTACAGTCATGAAAAAAGCTCGTTACACCATGAATTATTTGGTAAAAAGTGCTAAATAACAAAAGAACATTGAGACTGTACAATATAATCTATTAGTTTTTCATTTTCACATGTAATGCCTTACTTGTTTCTAAGATAATCACGGGAAACCAGCTGCCTGACACCATCCCAGACACTATTTTCTGTGTCACGGTGCAATGACCTCGCAGCATTAGAATTCGTTCGCTCGATAGTAGACGGGTACTTTTTTATTTAACCAATCGCTCCACTTTGGTCGTGACGTATGTAATGCGCCGCTAACGGGGAATAACTGGTACCGTATTTTCCGCACTATAGGACGCTCTGGATTATAAGGCGCACTGTCATTAACTGGTCTAATTTGGAACTTTTTTCACAAATAAACCTCACCGGACTTTAAACGAAACCCAACAGTGTGATGGGTGAGTGGTTTTGTTTGTTTGTGTCGTTCACGGTGACTCTGGGCTTTGTTCAGTTGTGGCGTGTAGGGAGGGTGCTGTCTGGGACCAACGGATTGTCGGCGTGTTCGCAGTGACTCGGTTGTTCAGTCGTGACTAGAAGCGGCACGTTGCACTCGCGTTCTCGGTTTGTTCCTCCGTTCCGTTCCTCGTCGGCGTGGAGTGATGAGTGTGGGTGCGGGTGTTTTTTGCTGAGCGGTCGCTGTCTGCTCCGTGTGTGTTTGCGTGCGCTGCGGGTGTTGCGGTTTTGTAGTTTACTGAAGTCGTGCTGGGACACCTGAGTGGATTTGTGTATAGGGCGCTCTGGATTGTGGGGCGTGCGATAGTTTTTTTGATGGGGCTGGAGGCTTAAGAGCGCGTCTAATAGCCCGGAAAATACAGTATATTAAGCTTTTCCCAAATTCCGTAGGAAGAAGGGCAATAACATTTTTCCCTTGATAAAATTAACCAAACATTCTCTTTGTTCAGGCTTTAAATGTCTGGCATTTTCTTATTATAAAGACAGCTCACCAGAGGAAAAAAGTTGGAGACCCCTGAGTTACACGCTCTGATAGTGAATAATTAGCTGGATTAGATCTCATATTTTATTTAAAGGAAATAAATGCAGTTTTCAGTCTCTGCGCTGGTGTCGGCTCATATCAGGTATGCGCAGATACTTAGAGCGATAGTTTCGAAATAAATCTGCATCGGAACTGAAGAAGCTGGACACTAAGAGTACACGCTCCTCTGATGAAATGTCCACGGATACTCTCTGTGTATAAAAACTCTCAGCTGAAGGGCCCCGTGGCGCTGTCGGGGACGTGGTGCATGTCCCGGGTCATGTTGCTCTTCTCCTTGAGCTTGGCCTGCAGGAGGCTGTGCTCCACCACGCCCATCCTCACCTCCATCTGCTGCGTCTCCTGCTTCAGCTTCATCACCGCCTGTTTGATGCGAACCACAGGAGCTGAGAGAAGGACAGAGAGGGGACAGAGAGAGAGAAACCAGGGTTATAACCGAGTCCGCACACACAGTACCACACACAGTACCACACAGAGTTTCAGTGTAAAGAGAGTACCTCCGTCAGACATGCTGCTGCCCTTCTCCTCCATCTCCTGCTTCACCTTCTCCAGCTCCTCACTGATCTGTCTCACACAAACACAAACACAAAACAACAACATCCTCTCTATTATCATCACTATACATTTCATTAGGACGGTCACAATTACATATTTTCTTCAATAACGTGTGACGGTGCATTCACTGACCTTGGCCAGAACTCTGGTTCTCTCGGTGACTCCTCCGCTCGCCTGCTTGTAGCGCTCTCTGACCTGGAACACAGATACATGCTGCTTCAGGTGGGTATGACAGAAACAGAGACAGACCTCTGCAAATTCCAGGCTGTTGTTGCTTTCATTTTCGTTTATGGAATCAGTTTTAACTTTTTCACTGGTCTCATGGTTTGAGAGAATCTCTGCGAAAAACAAGAACTCCCTGAATCAGTTGGGAAAGTAAAAGGAGACTGTCCATCCTCAGAGCGGTCTGGACTCCCTGTACTCAAGACAGTTACAGCAGACGTCCTAGAGGATTCTAAAAGATGTGCAACATCCTCTAAACCAGGGGTCTCCTACCTGTAGCTCTCCATTCCCTTCCAAGTAGCTCACCCAGGGATTTCTGAATTGTACATATTGTGCTGAATAACTCCAGTTTGTTTGATTAAATGCCTATTTTCTTTGTAAATGTATAATTCTGATGCCTAATTTTGTGCACTGATAACTGGATAATGTGTTATGTTTTATAGACTGACTGATCCTTAAATTTTTCATTCTCATTTTTGTTTATTTTGTACAATCATAAACAATAAACTTTGTGCCTACTTTAACATTATTATTAGTTTGTACGACCATAAACAAAAATATACTTCTACATCTTCATCCTACTCCTTTTGAGCAACAGGTCCCAAATATGTTCATGTTCTTTGTTTTTGTTTTTGAATTTTGGTGTACATGTCTCAAACAAATAAAATGAATGAATGAATGAATTGTACTTCATTTTCAGCTCACCATGGCTGTTATATTTACAAATTTTCTGGCAAACTCTAAATTTAGCAGCTCTCTGGCATTTTCGTTTTACAAAAAGTAGCTCACAAGAGGAAAAACGTTGGAGACCCCTGCACTAAACTCACAGTTTCAGCTGCTTCCCTGTGGTCAGAGGCTTTTAGTCCCAAGATCTAGAAGGAATCATTTTGAAAAGAGCTTTGTTCCAGCTGCTATCGTTCTTATGAATAAATTGTAATCTATTTATCTATCGATTTCATGTTTTATATATACACTACTGGTCAAAAGTTTCACAACACCACAGTTTTTCTACTTTTTACTGTTGTGACCAAAACATATTCTAAACTTTTGATTGATGAAAGTGTCGACCTTTGGCAGATATAACAGCTGAACACACTCGTGGCTCGTTCTTTTTACAACAGAAATCAAATATTCTTCAGAAAGTTCTTCTCAAGTCTGTTGCAGAAGTTTCCATAAATGTGTGGCACTTGTAGGTCACTTCACTCTTCTGTCCAGTTCATCCCAAACCAGCTCGATGAGGTTTTCAAGCTTTACCATCTTGTTCTTTTTTCCTGAGGTGGTTTTGGCAGAGCTTGGACTTGTGTTTTGTATCTTTTATCTTTTTTTTTTAACCTCTGTCTGTTCAGTTTTTACATTTGTACAATTCTGAGCTCTTCATTGGACTTGCACGACTTGAATTGCAATGAATAACTGGAAAAATTAGGGTCTTCTAAAACTTTTGACCGGTATTTATCGTATTATTTTATTATTTTTAGCCAAGCGTGTTGAATGAATTAATTATTTATGGAACAAAACCTTTCTGCATTGGAGCACTGTAACACTTTATTTGTAATTGTGATTTTATTTGTTTATTTTGTACAATGTGGATGAATGAAATGTGAAATGTTGGACCAGCCTCACAAATCTGCAACACAAATTTACCTACGGAGCACGAATGAAGCGACCTAACCTGATCTGGTGCGTTCACTGACCTCTCGGAGCTTGGCCTGCGCGCTCCTGTACTCCTGGATCAGTCCTTCCAGCTGGTTGTTGATGTACTTCTCTCGGCTGCTGACCTTCTCCAGGGTTTTGCTGATGTCCTCCTGCAGTTTGTTCAGGTGACCCTGCGCCGTAAATAAAGAGTTAGTTAGTTACTTTGCCATTCTGTTATTTTCTGATCTATGTTAAAATGTAGTTTCTTCATCACAAACAGACCTGGAGTTGCGTTTTGTTTCATTCTCGCATGTTCAAAACACAAATCCTTTTTTCTACTTTGTGAGTTCATGTACTAATACACGAAGTACTCTACTGTGTTTTTAAACTCCACACACCTTCAGTAGAACCATTTGAACAATATCAGCCCAGGGATTGTCAATCTCTAATGAACAAAAGCTAAAAGAAGCTGTTAAAACTACCACTACACTTCTTAAAGATGTGAGACAGGCCTCTACTTTGACTCCAGGCTCAAAACGGTACGGAAAGGTTTTCATTTTTTATTCTGCACTCTTCTCTCTCATTTAATGTCTCTCTATTTTTTATTTTATGATGATTATGTATGTTTTGATTTGTTTGTATTGTGATTTTAATATATTTCTTATTCTGTAAACCACTTTGAATTAATTTGTGTACGAACTGTGCTGTACAAATAAACTCGCCTTCCCTTGTCTTACACAGTGGAGCATTTTGAGCTTTGGAGATATAGATTAATAATAAAGAGTTACTCAAAAATGTGTGAATAAAACAAAACACAACTCTGGTTATGTTTTTGATGAGATAACAGCATTAGAACATGGTTTAAAGCTCACAGGAGTCAATTTTGTGAAATAGAGAATCTTTAAATAAAGAAAGTAGAAGTTTACGTAAAGAAAGTTTCCGACGTTTGTTTTCAAAAATAGGCATGTAAAATCTCATACCTGCTGTAAAACCTAATAAACAAACATGTATTAAACAGAACACTAAACTCAGTGTTTTTCTGTTTTGAGCTTTTTAAACCTAAAATGCCTCTCTCTCATCTGAATGGTCACTATCTAAACCCCACTGCACTGCAGAGTTCAAATGCTAACACAAAAAGTGACTCAGATTGGGGAGTGACGGGGCCCAGCAGGGGGCAGTGTTCTCACACCTTGGCGTCTGTCAGGGAGGAGTTGATGCCCTCTTTGTGCTGGTGCATCTGGTCCACATGGATCCTCCAGTCCTGTGCACATAAAACCACACATGAACAACGACAGCACAAACAGTAGAACAACTCCAGCTCACAGTTCACACTGACATTGTGCCCTTCATGGAAACCATCTGACCTCACAGCATGAGGATTTGTTCACTCGACAGTAGGTGGGTACTTTTTTTATTTAACCAATCGCTGCTATTTGTTCGTGACACATGTAATGCGCCAAATCCTGTAGGAAAAAAGACAATAACGTCTTTCCCCTTGATAAAATTCACCAAAACATTCTCTTTGTTCCGGCTTTAAATCCTCGATCTCTGGAATCGCTACCAACACAGAATGTCTCTCTTTGTCTACATCCATCTCGACGCTTTGTTTACTGTTGTGTTATACCACAAAAGGGACATGGACAGGTGCTTGAGTTTGACGTCATGGCTTCACAGCTCTTCACTGATTGGTCGGTGCACGGTCTACAACTTCCGGGTTCAGTTCATATAAACCGTCTAGTGTATTCTGATTCCTGACCTAGTCACTGGAGAGAAATTAAATTGAGCGGAGGCACTAGGTGGCACCAGTCTGATTAGGAAATACTAGATAATAGATAAAGTATTCAGGATGCACCGACCTTGTCACTATCATGAATCCAAAAGTCCCAACATCTGCTCAGTTGTATAAGGTCAATTTAATACCTACATGTGCCCTTTTTTCTGCCGCATATAGAAAGATTTGAGCTTCAACATGCCAACATGTAAAAGCAGTAATTTTTCTATTAAAATGGATTGAAACTCCTCCACCATAAATAATCTGACCTTAAAGAGATTATTTATCATTATTTTATTTATATTTATTTTTATTTATCATTATCTTTTCCCCACCACAATTTAAAAAAAATAAAAATCTATGTGAAGATGAACTCAAATATAAACAGTACCTTCAGTATTGTTGTATTATTGTATCAGTATTTTTGGATATATAATTTATTTGTTTTCTTATTAACTGCACTTGTGGATTAGGAGCTGTCATAACAGATTCTTCACCGTAGGATCAGTAAAGTTCTACCATGTATTACGTAAGATTATTGTTACTTTGAAAAATAAAATCTAGAAAAGCTCATGAAGATATTTTTCCTACAGTTACATTGAGCCTCCCACAATTTTTAAACGTAGGGCCTATGCTTAACGACTGATGTAGACAGAGTAAAGCTGAAGCTCTCAGGTTTGTCCAGAGCCTCCAGTGAACCTGAGCTGTGGCGGGTGCAGACCTTATTGTCCGTGCGGATGGTGACTTTGAGCTGAGGCAGGACCCTCTCCACCTCCAGGTTCCACTCGGCTGCGTCCACCGTAGACTCCAGGATCTCATCGGGCTTCAGACGGGACTCGTGCTCCTGCTGCCGGACGCACAGAAGCATCGTGAGGAGAACATCTGAGCAGATCTGAGAAGCTTCCACCGAGACGTGCAGATCTTACCTTGTGAGTGGAGCGCAGTTTGAGAGCGTCCAGGTCCATCACGTCCTCCTCTTCGTCCTCTGCTTCCTCCTGAACACACAAACAACATTCAGACTCAAAAATAGACACACAGGGCTTTAAAAACTGGACTTATCTACAGTGACATGAAGAACTGAAGGTCCAACCAAGGAGTAAAATAAAACTTTACCAAAGAAATTGTTGAAAATCACACTCTTAAACAGGACCATGGACGTTCATATTGACCACAGGCTGCTGAAAATGTGTTGTTTAAATCAACTTTTTGTTTTTTTTTTGATGATGTTAACTGTGTTTTAGTAAAGTCAGAGGTCTAACTCGTCATATGAACTTTACATCAGGGGTTCCCAAACCCCAGGCCGGAGACTGGAACCAGGTCCGGGTCGTGGGTCATTTGGTAACGGGTCGCGAAAGTGAACCCCCCCGTCCCCCCCTTCCCATACTCTGTGCGGACTGTGCCCCACAGGCCACGTCTCTAAACCAGAACCAAAACCAGGACTAAACCAGAACTAAAACAGGACTAACCACCAGAACTAAAACAGAAAAAACCAGGACTAAACCAAACCAGAACTAAAAACCAGGACTAAACCAGAACTAAACCAGACTAAACCAGAACTAAAAACGAACTAAAACCAGCACAAAACCAAAACTAAAACCAGGACTAAACCAGAAATATGCCAGAACTAAAACAGGACTAAACCAGAACTAAAACCAGACTAAACCAGAACCATAAACCAGAAAAGAACTAAACCAGGACTAAACCAGAACTAAAACCAGGACTAAACCAGAACTAAACCAAGACTAAAACCAAGAATAAACCAGGATATTAGGTCCAAACAAACTATTCTAAATGCATCATTGGAGGGGATACGTGTCTCCTCTGCCTGAAATTATGGGCTTTTCGAATTATTTTGTCAACAATGGCCAACACATGCAATATGAAGATCAGAGCAAGTACCAATGTGCGAATGTGTCGCTCCATAGTGACTCAAAATTGGGGATGTGTACCTATGTTCCCCGGACTCAGATGACCTGGAGCAGGGAGTGATGTTAGGTGCCTCGGCCTGAGAAGCCAGCGTATCCCCAGGTTTGACTACCCCAAATTTAAGACTTTTTAAAGACCTTTTACAGACCACTAAAATTAAAATTAAGACCAGCATCGCACCCATTATCTGGGCGAAAAAACACCAGATCCAATTCTAATAATGACCAACCAACAACGGTACTATATCTAGAATCGAAGAGCCACTGTGGATTAAACCGACACTTCCCCAAGATCCATCCAACGTCTACTGATTGTTTACTCATCGTTAGAAACCAGAGTATTGTTTGCACATACTCCAAATTAGACATTCATTCACGTTACATGATTTCACATTGTTTTATTTTTTTTGTTCCTCAATCCATTTAACATTTGCACTGCAGTTGAGTAAAACAAAAAAAATAGGCTAATGAAATTTAAGACCTTTGTAAAAAAATAAGACTTGGGACAACATAATTTAAGACTTTTTAAGGCCTTAATTTAGGGACATAAAATTTAAGACCTTTTTAAGACTTTTAAGACCCTGCGGCTGCCCTGGAAGCGCTTTTCCCGGGAAGACCGAAGCACACGGAGGACAGACGCTCAAAATAATATATAATGAACCAAATCAGATTTCTGCTGGGGGGTGGGCCTGGTCGATGGGTGCGGAGCGGGGGACCCGCCTTGGTGGGCATGAGTGTGGCTTGGCCTGCTCCCACTTCAGTGGGGATCTGAGGCAAAATGCCACACACACTTTTTTCAATACTCAAATTAAATAGCAATAATACAGGTCAACATTAAATCATCCGCATAGCCTGTCTATCCCCCCCACACATACATACACACGCGTATACACACACATACACACACACACACAGACACGCACATACACACGACACGCACAGTTCACACTGTCACTATTTGTATGTACAGTCGTATCTGTCTTGTATCTTGTATGTCGTTTGGTTCCTACTATGTGTAATCATGTCAACCTTCTCCACTGTTTTTCACTTTCACCGCACGGGTCCAGCACGCAGTTCATTGCGCACTGATCTTACTCGCCACGTCTGGAACCAGCACATTGAGGACGGAGTATCTGGACCTATCTGACCATCTGATCCTAACCCCCCCCTCGGTCCGTGAAATATTGTTGGACATAACACCGGTCCGTGGCGCAAAAAAGGTTGAGGACCACTGCTTTAAATGATTATAATGAGCTGCATGTCTGTGAACGCACCATGACCTCGTCTTCGGCTCGGCTCAGGTTCATCTCTGCGTCTTCCTCCAGCTGCTCGTCTTCCTCTGTGACCTCTGTGGGGTACACGGGCCTAAACACAGCACACAAACACAAACACAAACACATGTAGTTCCCAAAGCAGCGTGCTCCAGTCTCCCACACTCTGCCCCCTCCCTGAACGCACCGCTTGAAGGAGAAGCCCCGCCTCTTGAGCGCCTCTTCAGCCAATCGGTCGAGCACGAAGCACACCTGCTCTCCAGAGCCAGATTTGAGCTTAGAGGGAGGAAAGTCCACCTTCACCCCCTGAGAGCACAAACACAGACACACACACAGAGAGACACTTAAAAATAATAGTTTTTTTGAGTATCCTGGGTTTTTGTGTTTCTATGTATACACATTCAATTTATTCCTATGTGCTGTGGTGTAGGTGTGGTTTGATGTAGAGCTGCAAGATGAATCGTAACTGAATGAAAATGGCTATAATATGAACAGACGCCATGAGCAAATCTTAAAGACTTACTCAAATTACCATAATTTCCTTCACAAACAAGAATCTCCTGTCTTGTTCTGCATAAAAGCTGCAAACCCTGTAGTTTAAATCTGTACAAACATGTTCAGAAATGTGATTCTTGTTTCATGTTTAAGTCTTTTTGTAAATTCCTCTGGAGATGTTTAAAATGTGAACTTTGAACAGAATCTTAAAACACTGGTTGCAAATCGAATCACAGTCATAATGCTCACAACTACATTTTTCCGAAATCTTGCTGGTTTGATGATCAGTGGATTTTAACAACGAAACAAAGCACTAAAGATCGATTGATATGAGTTTTTTTTCATGACTGATGCCAGGACTGATTGTTTCGAATCCAGAGCAACCAATGACCAATGAGCTCTGGTGATATTTTTGGGAAGGTTTATATGGCGGATTTAGATTTTTTACCCCAAATTATATAATTTAAATTTACGAAAAACCCACCCACAGCGTTTTTGTCACCACCAACTCATAAGAGAGCAGTGTAGTCACAGTTTCAGCAGTAATGTCTTTCAAAGATTGTTCAAATAAAGTTTCACTAGCTAGGACCACGCCAACAACGACATAGTGCGAAGAAGTATATTGATAATGTACGAAGCGAGGCAGAGATGGCTGGGTTGAGACTGTGGGTGGGGGCTCCGTCTCAATCTGTAATTGGCTCAGTCGGAACGGGACCCCCCTTTGTAGGGGTCTTATGACTGAAAGACAAAATAGGTGATGGGAGGGTGGGGTCGAGTTTGCCGAGACAAACTGGGATGATGGGAAAGGCTGCTACATACAGGCTTCTGGGAAATTAGAGGCGTGGTCGAGGTAAGTTGTGGTTTGCTGGTGAGAGGAGAGGGCGGCTGAGGCGTGGTCCTGCTCCTGAATCTCAGTTAATCATATTAACTACATTTTATGTGTATTTTGCAGGTCACTCAAAACAAAATATCAGTGGTTACTGTGTGGTTACACTGCAAATTTCTCTGATCTGACCAAGATTTTAAAACATATATCAGGTTATTCATTTGTTTTCAGATTTACTATCTATTTACTAGTTCTGAGACTGCTTAATTCTAGTGTAGAGGGAGTTAATTCACTACTTTTAAGTCATTTTCTGATAGATTTAAGTGTTTATATCTTAAATTTTGGCCAATCTTGTTTTGCAGTGTAGAGTGTGGTTAGTGTGTGTATAGTGTGTGTATAGTGCGCGGTCAGTGTGTGCTTGGAGTGCAGTTAGTGTGTCTCACGTACAAACGTCCGTAGCTCTGCCAGGATGTTGGACACGGTGGCGTTGGGCTCGTCAAACTCCTGCGGTTCTGTGAAGTTCCGCCCAGCCGCGTTCAAGAGCCAGGCCGCCAGCACGGAGAACATGAAGAACTGCTCCCCCGGGTTTGCCACCAGGTACGGACTGGACACAAAGTAATGTCTGCAACAACACGGGACAGAGGCACGGGTTAAATAAGACTGTATACAGAAGTGGACTAAGGGAGTGTGACGTCTAACATAGCACTCGACTCCAGTCAAATGAAGGCTTACAGTTATAGGAGCGAATTTGGAGTTCCATAAGCAACTAGAAAACAGGAATTGATTAAAGCTTGGACAAAATTTAAGATATAAACACTTAAATCTATGAGAGAATGGCTTAAAAGTAGTGAATTAACTCCCTCTAAACTAGAATTAAGCATCTCAGAACTAGTAAGTAAATAATAAATCTGAAAAAAAGATGAATAACCTGATCTAAGTTTTTAAATCTTGGCCAGATCAGAGAAATTTGCAGTGTACATTTATATAATTATGCCTTATTTGACACCAGTCTCTTCCTGTCTTTTTTGCTTCTTATTTAGAATCTATTATTACCATTTCTATTTTTTACTCTTTGTTATTATATTATGTGATGTGTGAGCTACTGTGTCCAAATAATTTCCCTTGTGGATCAATAAAGTTTGTCTAAGTCCAAGTCTAAGTCTGAAAACACGAGGATCACGTAGACCAGGTGAGTATGATCATTTGAGGTTCAAGTCTGGCACAGTCGTGAAAGGAGCATAAAATAAGACACAAAGTGCAAACACCATCACACCCTTGTCTGGGAGATGGTTAATTGTAATTTCTCCAATATTATTAGGAAATTTTCAGTGCATCTCTCCGCTCTTCACATGTCAGTCAAATATTATTTCTTATATTTATCAGATTTTGTATTGAGGAAACTACCCAAGATTGCAAGGTTCATCATGTGGGTCAGACTAGTCGTGATTTTGACCTGGATTATACCAGGATTACACCATTTTAGTCCTGAATTTGGAGATTCACAATCACCACATCAAATTTGGAACTAAACTGGGACTAAACTCAGAACTAAACCAAGACTAGGCCAGAAATAAACCAAATCTACAACAATAAATTCAAACCAGGACAGTTTTAGTTTTTAGTTCTGTTTAGATTTAGGAAGCATTCACACTTGTTTAGTCCTGATGTACCAGAGTTGATCTAGTCTAGTCTAGGTTTAGTACTCAGTGCAAATGTAAAAACACCCTTGGTTTGTGTTGGATCAGGTCCTGGTTTAGTCCTGTATTCACTTGGTTTAGGTTTTGTTTAGTCCATAGTAACCGAGTCCAAATTTCTAGTGCATAAGGACCATGTCATAATAGAACAGATTGATGGTAGAGGCGGCGATGGCAGGTCTGGTGGTCCCTCCATGATCAGGCCGAGCCCCGGGGCCACTCACTGGGACAGGGCTTCACGATGTGGGCAGTGCTGGGAAGGCTACTTTTAAAATGTATTCCCCTACAAATTACAGATTACATACCCCAAAATGTAGTTTGTAACATAATCCATTAAATTACTTAAAGAGTAACGTAATCTGAATACTTTGGATTACTTGATATTGTCATGCTTTTTAAAACTACATGAATGCAGAAACCACATCCCGAAACTTCTTGTTTGTCTCTTCAAATTGTCTGTTGAGCCCAAGTCTCCATGAACAGGCGTTTGTTTACTGTAGAGAAGCAAAGACGAGGATCTTAACATAAGAGATTTTCTTTTATCTGATAAAAGAAAATAAAAAGCCCAGTCTTTCCTTAACCGTATTGAAAATATTATTGATAGAGAAATGTTTATATGAGATCACTGCTGCTTTAAAGTATGTCCACCCTACTGTTCTGGTGTCATATTGTTTAGTCCTGGTTTAGTCCTGGTTTTATACCTGGTTTTAGTCCTGGTTTTAGTCCTGGTTTAGTCCTGGTTTTAGTCCTGGTTTTAGTCCTGGTTTATTCCTGGTTTATTCCTGGTTTTAGACCTGGTTTTAGACCTGGTTTAGTCCTGGTTTAAGTCCTGTTTTTAGACCTGGTTTTAGACCTGGTTTTAGACCTGGTTTTAGACCTGGTTTAGACCTGGTTTAGACCTGGTTTTGGTTTTAGACCTGGTTTAGTGTCCGGCAATGAGTGGAATTACCGAGAAAAAAAAGGGACGGGGGGGATATAGCCCAAAATGTGAAAACAGGAAAATACCGCCGTGTAATCCATTTATTTCAACAAAGTAGCTGTAATCTAATTACCACTCACTGAAACAGTAACTGTAACTGAATACAGTTACTCATAATTTGTACTCTGATTACGTAACGCCGGTACATGTAATCTATTACTCCCCAACGCTGGCTGTCGGACGCACTCACCGGGACAGGGGCTTCACTCACCCGGACAGGGGCTTCACTCACCCGGACAGGGGCTTCACTCACCTGGACAGGGGCTTCGCTCACCTGGACAGGGGCTTCACTCACCTGGACAGGGGCTTCACTCACCGGACAGGGGCTTCACTCACCGGGACAGGGGCTTCACTCACCTGGACAGGGGCTTCACTCACCGGGACAGGGGCTTCACTCACATGGACAGGGGCTTCACTCACCTGGACAGGGGCTTCACTCACCTGGACAGGGGCTTCACTCACCTGGACAGGGGCTTCACTCACCTGGACAGGGGCTTCACTCACATGGACAGGGGCTTCACTCACCTGGACAGGGGCTTCACTCACCGGGACAGGGGCTTCATGTTGTGCCGGACCAGCAGCTCTTCGTAGCGCAGCAGTTTGAGTTTCTCCAGCAGATTCTCCATCACCACAAACACCTGGTGCACCGCTCCAGGGCCGCGGTCCTCCTCCTCTCCCCGCCGCCCGTCCTCCGCCATCGCCCCGCGGTGCTCACAGACTCGGGGCCGGGGCTCGGGGGTCACATTCAGGCAGCGATCAGCCGCACTCCGCGTGTTTATCCTCATTAGCAGAGCTAATGGTAATGAACTCGGCTAGTGTTAGCTTCTGGAAAAAAAAAAAAGTACCTTCACTGTCTCTATTTTCCGGTGTAATTCCGTAAATAAGAGTTAAACTAAACTCCGGTCCGCACTAACTAATCAAAGCGTCCGTATTTTCTGATTAAATGTCATTATTTGTCAGAGAACATCGGAGCAACACGAGCGGATGTAGCAGCAGAACTAATGACAGTGAATTACCGCCTCCTGCTGGACACCCCGGACAACTGCAGATTACAATGAAAAAAAACAAAAAAACACTTATCCACAGCCAAAAAACATTTAACCCTGGAGAACCCACGGGGTCAAATTTGACCGTTGTTAATTGCTGCTACCCAAAATGAACAAACAAACCCAAAAAAAAAGTCAAATTTAACCTCAAAAGCTCAGAGTGCTACTTCTGGCCCCTGCATAGAGACACCTAGTGGATAAATATTGAACTGACACGAGCCAGAGTGGGAGTTACAAGATGGCTGACCAAATGGTGTTTTGTTGAGCTGGAAACCTACCCTAACAAAATTCTCTTCTCAGCAAACCAGCGATAGTGATTCTGATTAATTGTTTCAACCAGATGTTGAAAGTGATGATGTGAATCTTCTGCCCAAGACAATGACTCGTCCAATGATGAGGATGTGCCGTTTGCCGAGACTGCTAGCTCACATATGGAGCCAAATCGTGCCGCAAAAGCTTACAAGTGGCAAAAGAAAGGCTTTGAGTTGCCATGACAACCCAGATCAGAAAGGCTTTGAGTTGCCATGACAACCCAGACCAGAAAGGCTTTGAGTTGCCATGACAACCCAGACCAGAAAGGCTTTGAGTTGCCATGACAACCCAGACCAGCAAGGCTTTGAGTTGCCATGACAACCCAGACCAGATCAGCTGAACATCCAGGAGTACAATGATTCCATGGGAGGAGTTGACATGCTGGATGTGCGTCTTGAACACTGTAAATTTCCCATTCGGAGCCGTTGTTAGTATATGATACTTTTCTGGCATTTCTTGTCTATTGCGGTGATCAACATTGACAGTGTTTCCTATTGTTATTCTTTGAAATGATACGCGTAAAACCCAATGGGTCAGATTTGACCCTAATCCTAAATCAGGGAATAAAGGGTTAAAATTGAAAAAGTTGATATTTGGTGTTCAGTGGACTCATAGCAGTCATTTAATGTATAGTTCATAATTTTCCAAAGAAGAAAAGGGGTCTTGGGTTCTCCAGGGTTAAACCAGAGGGAAAGGAAATAATTACACATACATCACTGTAAATGTGTAGATATTTGATATACTTGTTTCTTATTAATTTGGAAATCTATTGTTGTGTTTACTCTGCTTTAGTCCTGGTTTGAGTCCTGTTTAGATACCAGATGATGACCAGATGTCCCTATTTACCCAGGACAGTCCCACTTTTGAGCTCTATGTCTCCTGTCCCAGCAGATTTACACAAAACCAGTGATTTATTCTCATTTTATACAAGAAATGTCCCAGATATCTGTATTTTTTTTTGACAAATTTGATCTAACCTGTTACCACCCGCCTCATTTTGGTGTGTGCACAATGGTAAGACATACCCAAGTGCCATAGCTTATTAAAAGAAAACCTTAGAACCCACATGCTTGTGTGAGGCACCATTTTAAAGCTTAGGCCTTCTAGTTTCTGTAGATATGTACATGAAGACTGTGAGTGCTGCCTAACCTACAGTACAGTCAATTAAAATTTATTTATTTTTATTTTTTTTTGCTTCGAAAAAAAAAAAGAAAAAAATAAAGGCCTTAGCTTGGGCATACTTCATGCTAGGCATTTGTGACTCACTACACTCATTGTTCAAGTTGTTGGCAACAACTGTGTAGAATTTCAGATCTCTAGGACAAAGGGTTTTGATGCTGTGAGCCTTTGTGTATACAAAATGACAATTCGGCACAAGATTGCCAAATTTGTGCCAAAATAATAATAATAATATAATAATAATAATAATCATTGTTATTATTATAATACTAATTCTTCTGAGCTTTAGGCATGTTTTCTCAAGAAAGAAAACTAAAAGTAGCCAAAATTGTCTTCCAACTGGCAGTTCTGCACTGCCACACTGCTCTCTGTGTCCCTCTCGGCTGCGCGTATAAACACAGGGTCCGTTTCCAATACAATCTGAATGTCCCACCCACCGTTTGAAAGCTCTGGTGATAGGCTAAAACAATATGTCAATCACTTTCTGGAAGATCCAATGACTGAAGAGATTTCCCGTAAACAAACTGATGACGCGTGCGTAAAGCCAGAAAGTACGTGAGTGCGTTAGCTTCTTCAGCGGCTTGTCCCAGCTAAACCCCGCCACCGACAACAGCGGGGAGGGTCTCATTTTGAAGCTAAGAGTGTGAGGAAAACAAGCGTACCCAAGAGCGGGAGAGAAAGGGAAGTGAGAGCGGGAGAAGAGGCGGAGAAGAGAAATAATATTTTCATTCACGGATTCATCCACTCATACGGACGACGATTTTCTGGATTATTCCCCCACATGGAATTATTTTTTGGAAAAACAACTTGATATTCTTTTTCTGTGGATTATTACGGATTTATTGAGTACAACTTTTCATGGATTGAACGCGTTTTGGACCGACAGAACCGGCTCAAAGGTAAGAAACGCGTATCTTATTCTTTGTTTATGATGTGAATTTTTAAATTCACATAAATTCGGGCTCGTTGTACGGCATAAAATGAATGATATGGCTGTTTTATTGATAAATTAAGCTTTCAAACGATGTATGGCATGCCAGTAGTGAAAACAATAATGAAGGTGAATATACAGAGTGAACATTTTTTAATGGAAAATCGCCCGCCGGCGGGCGGGTGGATGGTAAGTGGTTCTAAACTAGGACTAAACTAAGACAAAGCCAGGTCTACATCAAGTCTAAACCAGGACTATCACAATTTTTGACTATCACAAATCTTGACTAATCATAAATTGTCAGAAAACTGTGTTTGCTAATGACCATAAAGCAAAAAAAGGCAACGACAGATCATGACTGGCACAAGAATGTGCAGTCTTACATCGTCTTTTCGCAGTTTCATTCATAACATTTATACCAACATCCCAGCCCAGGTGTGTCACAGTTTATAATTTTGAAAATCTGGTCACCCTATAAAGTGCACTGTAACTGAGCAAATATTTGAGGTACTTGTGCTTTTGTTTCTTGTTGATTTTGAAATCTCTTGTTGTGTTCACACTGGTTTAGTATTGGTTTGAGTCCAATTTAGATCTGGTCCAGTTCTAGTTCTGCTTCTGATCTAGGTTTAGGTCCAGTTTTAGTCCCAGTTTAGTTCCAGTTTTCATGTGATGTGTGTGCAAGTGTGAGCTCACGCTAATATAATGTTTGGCCAGTTGCTTAGTGTTAGGCCTATTATCCCTCTTATATAGGGTGATCAGATTTTTGAAATAAAAAAATGGTACACCCACGCTTTGGGGGGGTTGTTAGTAATAATAAAATTGTGAAACAAGTGCGTTATTAAGGAGAACTGTATTGCACAAGGCCCATTCATGACTAACGTGAGTCAGTATAGTCACATTTTCTTTGCTCGCTTTTCTGTATTTTACCTAAATAAATGACAATATTGTGCACTTGCGAACCAATGCCTTTCATTCCTCATATAGTATAATCAATATGTTTATTTGTATTCTTTTGTATATTTGTTATTGTTGGTGTGTGTGTGCAGTTCTAATTATTTGTATATATTTCTTTTTTTCTCTGTTCTAGATGACCACACACACACACACACACACAAGTACAGTCACAATCCCAGTCTTTATTCTTATCCATAACAATCATCAATAAACCTTCCTATTCAAACCTCTGGATCCTGCTGCAGTCTTTCTGACCGAAGACTTAGGCCAGACTCCCGTAGGCCAGCATACATCATATATCCAATAATTCACATATTAGTTTGATTTAGTTGAGGGTAAAGTATCAAACTTAATCTCCGGGTCTTTTGAGCATCTTCATTCATGTTTCAGTCGGTTTCCGCTTCAGTCATTGGTCCATTCACTTGTTCCACCCAGTGACATCGTGAAAAAGCGCTTTTAAAACTCGCGCCTCGTACGTGACGGTGTTTTTACCGATGTGAACGTGCGTCTCCTCCAGCGGGGCCTCGATGATCGCCGGCACCTCTTTACCGTAAACTTCACAGTGCTGGAGGAACTGCACACACTCCTGGACCACGGCGTCTCGGAGCATGACCATGTGTTTGGACATGTTCTCCAGCAGAGACAGGAAACAGCGCTTCGCATAGAACCACGTGTCTGTGCCCAGCTTCTTGTTGTAGGGCTCCAGACTCTTAATGACTCGGGAGATGCCAAAGTCGTAGTTTCCTTTTGCACAGTACAGCGTCCCGATCACCAGGTTGACGATGCACAGGTGGAACACTTTCTTATCTGGGTCGTCATATGAAATCTGCTCCTCCTCTTTCTCGATCTTCCTCATCAGCTCCTCCGCCTCTTCCTTCTGGCTGGTCATGATGTAGGACACACACAGGTTTGCCAGCACCACAGCGCTCACGTTCAGGATGCTGTCATAGTGTTTCTTGACGATGGGCTCGTAGAAGCCTATGGCCTCCTTGTATTTGTTCTGCATAAACAGCACGTGAGCCACGTTCAGTTTCCACGTGTCGTCTTCATTGCAGACCTCCACAGACTTATGGAAGATCTTCTCCACCATCTGGAAGTTCTCTCGGTTCCAGTAGATTTTAGCCTGAGCCATGAGCACCACGATGTACTTCTCCAGCATCTGGTCGTACTCTTGCAGCGCCCTCTTCTGGCCTTCATCGTCTCGAGCCAAATGAGCCTCCTGGAGCTGTTTGGCCACTTTACGAAGCTGCTCCGTCAGTTTTCCGTTCATTTCATCAAATGTCCTGAAAGCCTCTTCTGGTGCTGTCTGGCAGGTCAGGAGTGCATCCAAAAACTCATACATGTATGGAGAGAGAAATTTGTAGGTGAGATGAGCGTTTTCTGCCAGGACGTCTGCAGCCAGGTCAAAATACTCGTGTTTGCAGTAGAGCAGCAGCAGGTTTCCAAAGGTGACCGGGGGGAAGGAGGGCTGCTGCAGGAGGAAGGCCAGCTTCTCAAAGCCCTCGCTGGGCTTAGAGTCCATGTGCAGCAGGGCCTGGTTATGGAGGGTCACCGGGTCCAGCTCCTCCTCA